TGTAGAAACCACTGGATGTTGCAATTTTCTTCATTACTTTTGTTGAGTTAGTGTTGACACTCAAACAAATGAAATGTGTGTCTTTTAGAATTCTTTTTTAAATGTTATGAGGAAATCAGGAAGTGGGTTAAGTAACAAACAACACCTAAGCAAACTCCCCCACACTCATAATCTTTCTCTGACTGAACTGCATAATGCGGAATTTGTAGAAAAAGATGAGAAATTGAAATGATGTCCCCTGCTTTAAGCCATTTTGGAATAAAGATTTTGGTTACTCAACTTTTACTCATATTGGATGGTTAGGGTTAAATACAATACTCATGAAGAAAGAAAGAATGTTTTTCCCAATGACTGAGTGTAATTGCACAATAATCTTTTTTGACTACATGATATCTTCTATCTGAAGAAATCATGATCTGTGTGTAGGACAAGTTATACGTAACCATTTCCTGCTCTCAAGTCTATTCTGTGAGCAGCAGATTGAAGTTACTGAATGTCATGAGTTACAGGACTGTGACTGAGATGGCCAAACAAATGAATGTAAAAAACTTTGTCTTTTGTGTGCTGTTGCTCAGTGTTGTTTTGCATTTTAGAAAGTTTATGATATTTTTGCACGATTCTGTTTTTTCATAAAAAGCAGATCATGTTCTTGTATTGTTGTTGCCTAATTTGGACAACTGTAAAAAACATGGCGGCCTCCGTAGAGAGGACCCGGTCCCAATGTAAATATAAAGTATTTAAATATAAGCGGCCTATTATAGGGTAAAGAAAACAACAACTCGTACGATTTCAATGAAATACACTAGTGAAAGCATCGCTAAGATTACTGTATATTCAATTTCTGCCAATAGATTCCTTTCACCCTAATCTTACACACTGAATCTTGGAGTGTAATCAGCTTCAGCAGTGGACCTGTGGCCCTCTGAGATAAACAGATGAGGACCAACCTTCACTAGACACGGGGCACTGTGCATTTGACTGAGCAGGTCTGGGATGTCTGGTCCAGTGTACCCCTGTGAGTCCGGCTCGGAGGCAGGATCCTGATGGAACCTGATGGCTTGGGCTGGGAGTCGACACTCATACAGCTGCTTGTACTTACTGGACACCATCATAACCTCCTCTGTCTTGGTCTGAAAGGAAAACACAGTCATGAAAGATGGAAAATTGTTGAGGTAATTTTTGATGTATAAAAACGTAATTCTTGATGTATAAAAACGTAATTCTTGATGTATATAAACTGCATGTAGGTGAGAGTGAGGGAACCTAAGTTGTGTTGTGACAGCTGTCAACGCTCCCGTGTCGGTGACTTCAGCTTTGGACCCCAGCATTAAATGTTCTCCATGTACAGGCAGAGGTGGAGGGGTTGCAGCAATCTTTAAACCTGATCTATCTATCAACCCCCGACCAAAAGAGAGTTATAACTCTTTCGAAAATCTTAGAACCAGCCTCATCCACCCAAGCCTGACGTCACATAAACCAATTAATATAGTCATCATATATCTTCCACCCGCCCCTTACTCTGAATTCCTATCTGAATTCTCTGAATTTTTATCAGAACTAGTTCTTAAAACAGATCAGATCATTATAGCCAGTGATTTCAATATTCATGTAGATGTTGCCAATGACAGCCTTAGTTCAGCATTTAAATCAATAATAGACTCGATTGGTTTCACTCAACATGTGAATCAACCGACCCACTGCCTGAATCACACTCTTGATCTTGTCCTGACATATGGCATTGACATAGAAAATATAACAATATTCCAACAGAACCCGCTTCTGTCTGACCATTTTTTACTTACATTTGAATTCAGAATTGTTAATTACGTCAATTCTGGACGGAAATTCTATTACAGTCGATGTTTATCCGACAAAACTGTTCACAGATTTAAAGAACTGCTCCCCTCCTCACTTCCCTCTCAGCCATGTCTCAGTACAATACAAGAAGATTATCAAAACCTTACTCKCACACTAGTTGATAACTTTGTAAATAGTACTGCAGCCTCACTAAAAACAGCACTTGAAGCTGTCGCKCCATTAAAAAAGAAGAAAGTAAGTCAGAGGAGATTAGCTCCGTGGTATAATTCCCAAACGCGCGTTC